AACTTGTTTGACGATTCTCGATTCAAAATCGTATTTGTAAAACATCATTTACACAAATGACAACAACGAAATTATGTGAAAAGAAATGCCAAGACAGAAATGAAAAAAAAAACAGTTTCCATCATCTATTTATATTTATCATGGTCTCAATTGTACACATCAATTTGACAATTTCAAGTAGTCCAAACATATTAAATGGAGGGAATTGGAGAGAAATACACACTTGCATATCTAAGTAATTGCGATATGGGATCGACATTTTAAAAACTATTTTAATGGACGCGCACGGCGGCCAACGAAACTAGTTTCACGGCTCATTGCTTCTAAACAATTTCAGTGCGAGTATGTGTGTGTGTGTCTCACTTCTACTATCTTCGGTTGTTGTTAGGTCCGTACAATCGTTCGCGTTCTTATGTGCCATGCCGTGCCACAAGTGAAAAAAATTTCACTTTGCAATTTTTTTTTTCTTCATCTTTTTTTTAAATGCGGTCGTGATCTTAATCATGTGCCTCATTAGACTTGTAACGTTTTTCCATTCTGTTTAATGTAGATTTTGATTAATACATACACGTTTTAATGGCACTTTTTTTCGCGTTGACCCGATCCACCGAAAAAAATGTAATTGAAATTATTTCGCTATCTAGCTGTTAGACACGACTCACTGGCTATTACGAAAAAACTACAAATCGAGCTAATTCACGGTGAGATTTCAGCATTGCAAAACTAATATTTAACGAACAGTCTAAAATTTTATTTAATACACCATCAAATTGGCAGAGAGAAAAAGAGAGAAAGAATTCCAAAGAAGTAATTCGTGGCCGTTGGATTAAATGAAAATAAAAAAAAAAGTAAACAGAATTACGTAGACTAATGGCGACCGACGATTTTTCTTTGTTCAATTCGTTTCTCGGGCGATCAATGATCGACATTTGGAGCAAGCGTCAACACACACACTCCAAATGTGGTGTATATCTTAAGTTCGTTGTCTCAATTGTTATCAGTTTAAATTGGATTTATATTGCATTATCGCTTTGATCACAGTTCTCTTGTCATAATCGTTGTCACGCTATATACATACGTTCATTTTTTTTCGCATCGCATTTATGACAAATAAAAAGACACAAGTAATAATCAATTTGAATGCCTTTGTTCGCCACTAAAATTTTCACTTCAAATCAATTTACATGAGAAATAATAAAGCGCAAACAATTTACAAGGCGATTATTTTTTTCAACTTATTTCGTCAGACTCACAGTCTTCATTGTTCGGACGGAATTATATGTTTTTTTTTTCTCTTTCTCTATTGCTATCTCCTTGTGTATTTCAACAGAGATTCTGCGTCGATGTCTATTGAATAGATAGAGCTGTGTGTACCATGTTTGCCAAGTTAGGCTTCCGTAAAAGGTGTTCGATTCGCAACAAAAAAAAATCAAGAGTCTTGATGGATATTGTAAATTATACGGAAAATAATATGGCCGTTGGTAGCGAAGAGTTTCTTTTGGTTGGGCTGTGCCTTCATTTGATGTAATTAACGCTTTAATTGTTTCATTGGATGGTGCGTTTGTGTGCTGTACCGTAGTAAAGAAGTAACGCTTTAAACGCACAAAGTCGTTGTCATGACGGTGCGCACAAGGAATCACTTTTCACTGTGGCAAACAAAGGCGAAACATGTTTTAAATTTCCACTTCTATTTTTGGTGAGTTGTTTAATATATCGCTATAGCCATACACATAGTTGTGTTTTGTGCTGTGCACGGTGTGTGTGTGCGCGCATTTATTCACAGCGATATGAGGTGCTGCTTTGAAATATGTTCTAAAGCTAAACCAAAAACAAAACAAATGCGAAGGAAAAAAAACGCCAACAGAAAAGAGTTGGTGCAATGCCCTTTGTCGATCCATATATTTCTTGTGAATTTCTCGAATCCCATAGTGATTCACGCCATTTAACAGGACTTTTTTCTCAGTGGTCGTTTTTTTCTCTCTTCTTCTTCTTCTCGTTCTTCGGTTGAAATGCATTAGACATGTTTGTTTGCTTTTGATTCTGATGAATTGCGTTAAAACTACTGTCATTCAAATGCCCATTTTTTCCGAGAAAACGGGAATTAAACGAGACCTAAAACGAGGCATGGTGTTTAAAGCCAAAAATGATTATCTTTACACCACACGCTAAACCAAACCGAATGAACATATAACAAGGGGCGATGCACAAACCAACATTCCGATGCCATTTCGTAGTCTCTTGCGTATTCATTCTCACCGGTCTTCCATGGCAGATTACATTGCCGATTTAAGAAGTAGAATTTTGTTCGTTTTCTACGCCATCTCCATGAGACGAATACTTGAAAATTGGCGATTAGAACTATAATTCAAGTTTGGATATTATTTATGAGTAGAAAGCATTTTAGCTTTGCTCTTGAATTTGCTCTCTTGTCGGCCAAAACAAATTATTTCTTTTTATCAATCATTCTACTCTTGCCACATCAAACAATGAAACGCATTTAATCGGCCGCAAAGAAAAACACCGTTATTACTATCAACGTACAAGAAGAACGAGTTAAAAACCAATTCAAAGTTGTGGTTACGCTTGTGTGCCATGTTCGCCCAATGATTTATTGGCGATGAATTTTATTTTGCAATGTAATCGCTCGTGCGCGCGTGCGCTCACTGAAGTGTGCAAATAGGCATATGATTTTTTTTCTCGTGTAATGTTTATAATATGTTTAAAATGGAATGCGCATCATGATAACGAAGCAAAAACAAAAAAAAATGATGGAAATCTTCTGTTGCACATGTTATAATGTGAAGCCGAGCAAATGAATCAAAATTCGAAATTTGCATTTGGCGAATATGTGTATCTTGCGGCGAAATGTGTTTTCATCAAGAAACGTTTGGCAACGAAACTGGTATTTAGATAGATGTGCGAGCCATCACAACAATATAGATTATGCGGTACGTGTTGGGCAAATATTGGTTTGCGGCGCAGTCGTTTGTATACAAACTGATCAATCAAAGTTAAATTTATGATGACTCATTGAGCAGTGCGAGAATCGTTTTCTGCCCGAATAAAATGAAAGAGAGCGAAGTGAAGAAATAAGAAATAACGATGAGTCAAACCATATCAAATGTTATTGCGCCATGAATATACAAGGTGCAAAAACACACACACACACATCGTGAGCTTTCTTTGTGGTTTTCTGTTTTTTTCATTTCGAAAATGCAAACAAGATTAATATAACAAAGATAAGCAAAAGACAGGAGTGAAATTTCGGAAATTCGAACCTTTTTATTTGCATGTTTTTTTATTCTTCTTCGGTACACCATCCATTCATTCATTACATGTAAACGCATTATCAAAGAAGATAAAATAACAACATGAAAATAATATTATTTAATCGAAAATAAAAATCAAAAATGTGAATTGTATTGTTTGGTTATTTTTATTGGCAAAAACCGGTGTACACATGTATATTGTGAAACGGGCGAATCATTCAGTTATATTAAAAAGATAGATGTGTATGTTATTTTACATACCAAACACGAATATGAACAGCAAAAAAAAGTTAAACGACCTTCACATGTCTAATCGCAAATGTAATTCATGCGTGTGTGTGTGTGTGTTGGTTTGCTTTGCGAATGTGCTTTGTTTCTAGTTTTTAAAATTGGCAAAGTAGTGAGTTTGTGTCAAAAGTTGCAGATGTTTTGTGTATGACCTTTTGCTATGGTTTTCATTTCAAGTCATTGCATTGTTGCGATTTTATGTTACGATCTTGTTTGCCATGTTTGTAGATTTTTAACTCCTGGATTAATCCATCGGCGGCATGCCAAATTACCTTGAATTTTGATTTACTTTCAATTGTTTGTTTGCCAAACACGTTTTTTGTGGTTCGTTCGTTTTATTCGTTTGTCTCGTCTCTCCTTCAGAGCTGTTGGGACTTACGCTAATGGTAATTACGGTTATTGTAACCATTCATTGATTTTTGTGTTGCGTGCGAAGGACACTGAAATCAACCGAAATCAACCTATTTTTCATCGTTGACTTCCCGAAGGTGGTGTTTCAAGCCATCCAACATTATAAATAAAATTTATGTTAAAACAATTCAAGAATTGAATTTATTATAATTTGCACTTGATACTGTTTGATCAAATGCATTGAAACCGTGTCGAATGAAATACATTTCTTATTGCATGTTATTTGTTTTGTTTGCTGCTTTTTATTTTGTATCATTTCTTTTGCGACTCTCTGGCATGCGAATAATTTCTCACCAATTGTTGATCTTTTTTTTCTCTCTTCTCTGCTCGCTTCTTTGTTTGTACGTGCAAGAGTTTTCTTTCGCACTTCTCTTTTTCTCTATGTATGCCGGTTTTTAGGTCGACCACTTAACCAACATCGAACGAACGAGTAATACTAAATGCGCTGATTATGAGTGATTGATTTTTCTTCATTTTTATTGCGCCACACACAAACTAAAATTGAATTTTTTTTCCTTCATTTTCTTAAATAGTTTTCATCTAAATTGTCTTGTGCTTGTTTTTTTATGTTGTAACCAATTTGTGTCGTTGTTGTTGTTGTTGTTTGATGTACCGTCTATTTTATATGGGCCATAAATAAATATAACATATTGCCATCTATTTGATTTCATTTTTTGTAGTGTTATTGAGGTTTTTTAATATGAGTTCTATTTAATTTAATCATGGCATATACGAATTCTATATGATAGTCCATATCTCTGTGTGTACTTGTTTAATCTTATCATTATTGTGACTGTATTCCGCGTGTTATGTGTAATTTCGTTTAATTGTGAATAAACATCAAGGCAAAATATAACATAAAAAAAGACGAATTTTGCTTTATTTCGCTAATAAATATGATGATTCAACGGAGAAATTCTGTTTGCTAATTAAATTTTTTTTCTTGTCTTATTTTTTTCTCTCTTCAATTTTCTTCGAATTATTTTATTGATTCGCGTGTCAACTATAACAACAACAATACAACCAATACAGGAAGCTCAATCGATATATCAAGATCGGTGGTTGCGTATTATGATCGTCTTAGCTCGTCCGCCATCAATCACACAAGTTCATTTAACAGTTTATCACACAGCAAATCTTCCCTTCTTATCGATACAAACACAAACTACGACAATAATTCATTGCTTGGTAAATCTCTCTCTCTCTCTTTCTCTTTGTCTTTCTGTTTGTATTTTTTTTCCAATTCTATTGTCAATAAAACAAAATTTTCTCAAGTGCATATGTTGCATGAACAAGTGCATGACTATTTTTTTACATAAACTTATAGCGTTAAAACTGTTTCATCATTTCTCTGTATTTTTAATTTATCTTTTATCTATGAATAGATTTCGAACGATTTCCGCGAACGAAAGATGCAAATTTAGATGAATGTGGAAAGCAATTAAAATCAGCACCACCACCATTGCCACAATTACCACCGCCATCGATTCATCGACGTCATCGTAATTTTCGTGCACTCTCAGCAAATGTACAACGTCTCATATCGCATTCAAATACATCGTTACATCCAGACGATATGAACGAAAATTATTCAACAACTGGTGACGATCCAAATTTAAATTGTGTGAGAAAACGTTTTTTATCCTCACAAATCAACTTATCAACACCGAATGGATGCAAATTCAGGCATCCGCTATCAAAGAATACATGCAAATTGACACAATCTGGAAATGACTTGGTTATCGACGGTGATTCAGACGGTGGTTATGTTACACCGCCGGAAATTCCCTACGCAAATCTAAACGATGACAATCTATACGATCTTGTTAATTCGAATGTTAGCAATGACGATGAATCCGAAGATGTTGTCGACAAAACGCCAATCAACGAATGTGGTCAATTTGATTTTGCCACACCAACAACCATTGAAGATCACATCAATTGCAATACAGACGATGTATACGATGAAGTCGAAAAAATTGAAGAGCCTAAATCCGACTGGGAATCAAATGCAAATAGGAATGGAAACAATGATGATGACGATGATGACAGTGGCTCTGTTGCCGCATTGTTTTCCTTAAAAAATACAAGTTTCATACATTCATTTGCCCATAAAAATGAACAGATGGCGATTGGCAATGATTCAACGTCACTAAGTGATAGTGCACAAAATTCACCGACACTTTCACAAAAATCGAACAGCAGTGACAACAGCGATACCAAGTCGAAAAAAAGTCAATTATTTGCAATTAAAGAAAAAAATGATCAAGTCACTGAACAGAGTACAAAAAACCATTCACCAATAAATAATTCCTCAATGGATAATGATATATTGCTGCCGGTTATAAATGCGGAAAATGGTGTTGATGATACAATGCCATCGTTGAATGAATCGATACCAACAACAACATCACCGACGACAACGACAACAACAACAGCCATAGCAGAATCAACGGTAACAACAAACTCGACGACGGCGACAGCGACAGCGACGACGACCACTGCAGCGACCAAGGCATCAACAACCAATAACAAAGAGAACGGTCAACTAAAGATTGATCTAAAACGCACGAAAATTCGTCCATTGTCATCGGTTTCGATTAGTTCGACAAGTTCATCATCAAGCTCAGCGTCCGATGAGCATTCGACAAATCAAAATGCCATTTCCTACTTGGCAAGCGTTGAAAGTTTAGCCGATCATAGCGAAAATGAACTGGCCATTATCAGTCCCAGCTTGACTGTAACCGAACGTGCTTGTTTAGAAATTATCGACTCCGAACGCAGCTATGTCGATGATTTGGGTCAAGTTATCAAAGGGTAAGATAACTTATTATTTTTGTATTATTTCAAAATAATTGCGTTTTGTGACAGCGACAAATAAACCATTTGTTTCAATTAGTGGAGCAAAACATGCAGGCAACGCGTATCATATAACGTCTAACAAAAAAAAATCTCTTCTTTTTCTGTTGTTTTGTCACACAAATAGCTACTTGAATGACTGGCAAGAGCGAGGCCATCTCGAAGCGCATGAGCTGAACACATTGTTTGGAAATATTCAGGAAGTGTACGACTTCAGTGTGATATTACTGAGTGAATTGGAGCAATCCGGTGAGCCAATCAAAATAGCAAAATGTTTCATCAAACTACAAGACAAATTCGATGCATATACACAATACTGGTGAGTCATAATCCATTTAAGGTGGCAATGCACGATGCGCGCGCTTACACAAACACCAACAATACACAATTTCTCTCAATTATTTACATTATATTATCACGAAAGTCCAATGGTTTACCTTTTTTT